ATGCTGGCTGGGGAATTCTGGGAGTTGAAGTCCACCCATCTTAAAGTTCCCAAGGTTGAGACACACTGGCCTAGAGGGATCTTCAATCCCTCGTCTTAACCTCGATCCCGAAATAGTCGGGGTTAACCCTTCTGATAATTTTTAGCAAAAAGTTAAGTTGGGGTGTTGTAATCCAGCAATCTTGGTGGGCGCCAGATGGAACTGTCCGAGCCCATGGGTCTGCTTGGAAGATTTGACCCTAGTTGTGGGTGCGCTCACAAAATGGCACCGGGGTGGTTCCAGGCTGTCTCAAAACATCGGATAAGCAGAAGGCAGACGAGGCATATTTTACCTGCCCTATCCTTTTCAGAGACACTCCACCTGGCCATTTATTTTTAATTTCCGTCTTTCGTTTACTGGGAGCTTGGCGGTCTCTGGCCAGAGCTACAAACGAAAGGAATTAATTGATTGGGAATTGCTTCATCAATGACTGGAATGCCTGCTTTGGGCAGGTGACATTTCCCCCAATTTATTTTGAGCGTCGATCTTTTAATTCAGCGTGCGTTGGCCCGTCTTTGACCGTCGCTAGAAATAAGGTGAATTAATTCCGTGTAAATTGCTTTGTGGATGAATTGAATCCTTGCCTTGGGACTCTTTTTAACCGGAGTTTGACGTTTCATAAAATAGGTTGGCACTCCAACTCACTTGCACGCTCTCTCTTCTAAACTGAGCTTTCAGATTGGTGGCTGAAAACAGCGTATCTGGACTATCGGCTGCCGGTGGTCATCCATTCCAGTCCTGGTGTGGTGCTACCCAAACAAGATTTCCTGGACCGGCAGGGACAGCTAAGGTAACTCGCCTCGGGTTGGGGATCAGACCCCAGTGTGGCAGAAGTTCATTTGCCAAGGCGAAACCTGCAGCTTTCAAGCATCGAGGGCTGCTGGGGTGGGGGAATTTCCATTTTCTGGGAATAAGGTCCCCGAAATCCTACTAAGAGGTGAATATCCCCCGTGACCTGCCTGCAGCTTGTTCAGAGAGAGGTTTGGGAGGCCCACCCCCAAACCAGGAAAGGCTCTGTGTGGCTGCACTGCCCTTCTGGAAGCTCCCCAATCTTGTTAGAAGGTTGTGGACATGTGCAAGGGTCTGCGGGAAGATGGACGTGTGCAAGGGTCTTGGGAGATGGGGAAGGGAAGAGCCACAGCCAGAGGAGTGGTTGGATAAGAGGCAGCTGAGCCTGCAGAAGGAATGGGGGCGTGGGAAACATCTCAGGAAGGACCCTCCCTGGTGTCTGAGGCTGTAAAGGGGACGGGGGGAGAAATGTACTTTCAGACTTGCAAGATTCTGTTAATGTAGCCTTACAATAAAGTAGAATTAGCTCATCTCGCCTTGTTTCCTATGTGGACTACCTCGAAAAACTGACATCAATCTTCCAGGCCTCAAAGTACGTTTCTCCCTATCTCCTTTACAGCCCGAGAAACTAGGGAGGGTCTCTTCTGAGCCTCTTGCCCTACCCATTATCCAGCTGTGGGCTCAGCTGCCTCTTATCCAACCATTCCCTCGGCTGTGGCTCTTCTCCCATCTTCCGAGGTCATTCCCACCTACCATTACAACATGGCTAGATAAGGGCCTTTACTGCATACAAGAACAAATCCATTTCAATCTATTGATTGCACGGCAGAAGGA